TCTTTGCACTCTAACTGCAATTGCCCGAAAAGAAAGTCCAGCTTTCCGAAGTCCCACTATACGGCCCCTATCAAACTCACTAAGTTGACGAAATCGTACAGGTCTCCGTACTCTAGGCATCGTAACCGATCGTAAAGGATGTCAAGAACCAAAATCCGCCAACGTTGATTCTTTACTGCGGCTGAAATATTCATTTTTTGAGCGTTAGTGAATTAAAAAAAAGCAGTATAAAAACCGGAATGTCCAACTGATAGGCTGAAAATTTGTTCACTTGTTATTTACAGTAAGATAAATACATTCACCAACTTTTATTAAAATAAAACCATTTAAACTGGGTGTTCGGATTTATATGTCACTTAGTACCTATATCTGTTTGACTAAACTGATTATCTTTTTGAGCTCACATGACCTTTTTCTTAATTAGCGAGAAAATATAAGTACTCAGATTCCACAACTACTAGTGCCAGTTAGATTCAGTGTAAATGCCAGTAGTTCAGTACTAGAGAGCCAAAAAGATACAAAATTCCTCGGAGTCCTTATTGATGAGTGTTTGAGTTGGACAAGCCACTGTCAGCAGCTGTGTAAATCATTATCCTCTTATGTATATGCTTTTTCAAAATAAGTAGTTAGCTAGTGTGATAATATTAGAGATTAGAACATAAAAAACTTAATTGCTCTGTTAACTGAAAAAAAACATTCTGAGGGACCCCGAGACGTATCCCAGACCATTCCACGCAAAACAACGTCTTTGATGGCGAAAACGAACATGCGACCGAAAAATTCACATTATCGTATGAACGCTAGACGAGACAAAGAAGGATGTCTATAGACTACCGTACTAAAATTAAGGATTAAGACTCTGAACTGCCCATTAAACACATCAAGTAATTGGTGCAAATACTGACATAATCAAGCAGATCTATTAAATCAGCAGGTGATAAAAATGTCAATAGGTATAGTCAATTATTTTTTGAAATTCAATATAGATGATACAGTTATTCTTCAGACTTTCGTTGTTGAACTTATATTTACGGCATAGTTGTTGTTTTCTCAGTTTTCGAATCGGTGTTAATCGAATGTAAAAATGTTGAAAATCTTTGGAAAAGACAAGTACAGGAATACAGGGCTGTACATATTCATGTGTAGTGCAGAAGCTCTATGATTTAAACGAATTCAATATAGCCACATAAGTAGACACATACGCGGGAAGAGAGGCGGGACGTGTAGTATTGACTTTGAGCATCGATCGATGCATTGTCTGGACAGACCAGAGGGCAGAGGCACACCGCTAAAAAAATCTCATAAATGCCTACTTCCAATTTAGGCGTTCATCTAACATAGTGCTTCGCTGCAGCACCAACCCCCAACAAAATCAGTCAAGCTTTACACACTTTTCAAGTTACTATTGAGCAACAAACAGAACATAAACCATTTTTTAAGTGCAATCTGTATAGCTAATATATTACTCAGACTTGTCACAATACTTGTATATACCTACGTATAAATCGTAAGAATTGTGTTGTAAAAAAAATCGTCTAGGGGCCGCGCCAACCGCCCCCCTCCCTGTGGATCCGCCACTGATTATGGGCACATTGAGTCTAGACTTCGTTATGGCATTTGCTTGTGTGGTTGCTCATCCCAGAATTCTTTGTATATACCAGAAACAGCCACTCAAGTATTTTGGAATAGGCACACTTTTTTTTAAACAGTGATATTCACACGCACAAGACCAGATTGAAAAAGAAATTAGATTTCCCAAGTTTTAGCTATAAATGCAGGCAGGTCTTAGGATTAAAAATTTAAAATAACCTACCAGAAAAGGTTAAAGTCGGAAACAAACGTGAAGTCCTTTAAACAAAATTTGAGAAGGTTTCTGTTTTGCTTCACTGTTGTTTTACTGTTATTTTAAGTTTTATTGACAATTCCTATATGTCATGTGACATCAACGGGAAAATGAAAGAATTTGAATTTGAAACCGTGTAAATTGTATCCTAGCTGATTAGCTTCTAGAGCCCTACGCGTGAGATTACACATTCCAGTTTAGTATCAAAAGATACTTATCAGTTTGAAATTAAAATTTTTCCTAACCTCAATTAGTTTCGTCGTTTAGGGGCTGTATCTCCATGAGAAAGGGTATTTCGGAAGTGTCGATAGAAAAGTCAGTCTTAAAATACCCTATCCAAAGAATCGCCCGTTGCATTTTTGCATCATTTTATTTTATGGTGTGTATGTATGTTATGGATAAGAAACGAACGTTGTTACGGGTATTTCGTAACGCCAATATGCTTAAAATACTGTAAACTCATTTTTGAAGGAAACGCATATTGTTTTGAAATTGGAACATTTATTTATGACAAAAAAGTCAATATACAGACATCATATACATCTTTCTCTCTATGTTTTTCAATAATATTTACAAATTTTGGTTCATCAGTTGCACATTTCCTCGATACCTAGGTACCACTTTGCGAGTACTATTATATTATTAGAAAACCTGTTGACGTTGGTACATCCACATGAAAAAGCATAATTTTGAAATTAAAGATTGCACAAAAATAAATTATGTCAAGGATTTTATTATTACATAGTAATAACTAATTTTATCTCTCAAATAGAAGTAGTAATCAATGATTCACCATTCATCACATGATAACATTAAATAAGATGATTTGGATTGTGGATGTACCAACACCTCAACATTTTGTTTTAAATATATACTGGAAACATCACAAGTTGCTGATAATTTTTTTATACAAATATATAGTAATTACACTTAGTACATTAATATATTTATACATTTTTACAAGATTATGTATAAAAACAAAATAAAGAAACTTAAATTATACAAGCTCTTATATGTAAGCGTTTACAGATCCTTACAAAGGATTCAGGTGGTAAAAAATAATGTTACAAAACATGCGAACATTCTTATCCAAAAATGTGCAGATCAAGATTTTTGAGATTTCTTTCAATTTTAGCATGTTGTGGTTACATTTGGGTTCAATTTTAAAAATAGATATATAGGATATCACGTGTATTATCTTAAAAAATGGCATGGTAGCCTCAAAAGGTATGAAAGGGAATGAACTGACAATTTTGAAAAAAATAGAGTCAAATATGACAGCCAAAAAATGTGAACACAATCAGAAAACCAGAATTTTCTTAATCTATTTTCATTACTTTATAGTACTACTTATTACGAGAAAAATCGTACAAATTATTTATGACATAATTTTAGATACCTTTGTATATTGAAAAAATGCTACGTATATCTAAATTATCAGTTAGGAAATATCTTGCACATTGATCATCTCATCGCATCATTAGATTTCCCATTGACTCATCCGATTGTTCCAAAATGTTTTGTTTCAATGGGATTAATCAGATCATCACATGATACCCTATATTTCATAGAAATTATAATGTCGTATATTTTCATTAATATCCACGAAAAATTATAATTGCATTGAAAATCTCAAGCAATGGTAGGTATGGCTCGAAGCTTAATATTTTATGATATGACAACTAAAAAATTATAGTCGAGACAAAGGAAAAATATGAATAAACTATGTATGGGTGTATTCAAATCCTAATTCCACAATATTACATGAATTGCACGATGTCGGGACGTTATTAGCAGAAGTAGCAATTAAAATACGTAAAGCAGTGACATAGTTCCAAGGCTTTTGTTCTTAAATTTTTAAGAAAACCTTCATAAAACAATGATCAATATTTTTGTGCAAATACCGGTTAAATTCGGAAAACAAAATTTTATTTTTATGTGTATCTAAAATGATTATTTGTCTGAGAATATTTTATTATTCTTGTATCAGTTGATATGTCATTGTCCACATCATTATACCAAATAAATGTCAAGAAAGGTAATATCTATCTACAGAATCACATATAGTGTCATCACGTAGATCAGAAATGGTTTTCTTAAGGGAAAAGCTCGCTTGAAAAGGATAAGACATTACCAACGCCAATAACATTTTTACAAATCGTTTATGTGCCAGCACACACATTTTTAGGCGTTATGAGGACCTAACATTCTTAAATCTGAGACAACTCTCGCCAAAGTCTTTACTTCGGATCCTTTAAACATAGCTTATGTCATTCTGTTAAAATAACAAACACCTGATTGACATTTAAATGCTTTCTCCTAATTAAGGGTCATGTTTACATGGCAGGTAGGCAGCCAGGTGCTTAGGTTAGCTACCACCATGTTTTTTTTACATAAGTGCTGTTTTGTGTCCGTTTAAACCGTGGCTAAGCGTCATATAAATCCAAGGCTGTAAACGGGCAGTACTTATGCATAGAACTATATAGTGCTCAGTGGCTATCTAAGCTCTTGGCTACAGTGTAATCAAGACCACTGCATAACAAGTATAATAATAAAAGTCGAATTTTATACAGTTTTGTAACAGGTATTAGTTTGAAATATTGCAATAAATGCAAGATATTAAATTTGGTAACAACAATTATTCGTGTTTTATCAAATAAGAACTCGTTCATTTCATATATTATTAACAATCATGCCTATTGTTCATTTAGAAAAGCAAGCGAACCAGTGTACTTGCCGAATAGTTTACATGTATTTCAGTCCGCCATCACATCTCCGCCTTAATCAAATCAACAAATATTATATACAAAAGGACTATTTACAAAGAAACATTAAGCCATATTTCGATAATTGATATACCAAAACCGTAACGTTCAAAGATGTATTATGGAGCGTCCGAGTTTTCCTACTCGTACGAAACGTTGAGCCAATCTATTTGGTTATTGTTTTTGAAATATACACCTATATATAGGTAGAATTAGGACTGATAGCCCATGTGAAACCCTTGAAAATTTATTAAAAAAATATATAGACTATTTACGTAAAATACACAGGAGGAATACTGCATAATTGTTTAACATTGAGTAACGACCCAAAAAGATAAAATTTGTTAAAAAATGGAAAGCAGATAACCTAATTTACGGTTTTCGACAGAACTGTGAAGGAAACGATAATTCCAAGAATTGTATTATAACTATCAAGGTATTGGTATATCGAATATAGGAAAGTGGGGCGATAAAAGCAGTGGCGTGATATTTCATACAACAAGAAGCAAATGATTATTACCAGAAATGTGCCTTTTAAGGGCATTTTCGACCAATAATTGCTGGTTAGTATTTATGTCTGGAAGGCATTACATTACTTTCTAAAGACATAGATACGCTGATGTTACTATTAATTCTTCTAGACAATGAAAATGGCAACATTGTGCTCGATGCGTAGTGTGCGTTACTAAATCGCGGATGCAGTGTTGCCATATTGACTTCACGTGAGCGATGCCCTTGAAGTTTGACGATTCATACAAAATTTGGAATAAATTCACAACTACCGAATTTTTATCATCGTCTGTTGTCATACGTTACACAACCATTGTTATACTTTCCAAATATTAACGTTAGATATACTGCTCATTAACTAATGCGTATGGCAATTGCAATATTAACTCGAGAACCATGTGATAGTATGAATCAGACGATCTACTCAGTCCTTCAAATTTATTTACCTCATCTGTAGAATCTGATTTTTGTGTCGCAGACAACTAAAGCCAACATTTTTTCAGTTATTATAAGTTACTGGAATCATTAATTAACTAATTTCATAGAATATTTAGAGATCTTTCATTTACATAGAATACCTATGGTATATTGCGCATAGAACAAGTGCTTTTTGCATAATAATTTAGTAGTTGTTCAATAACACGTTTAGATGCCTGCTTTAAATGGATGATGTCTGACGTAACAACAATAAGTATTAATTTATCTCGAAGTGTTTGTTACAATGTTTATCTAGCTTTCGATTCACTGTGGCACGCTCTTAACGCAATGCGTATTTGTAGTTGCTATTATTGAAGACTAATTGTACAGCATCTAGATTGCTTATAATGGTCGTGAAATATAAAAGCGTCAACAGTGAGAGTTGATCGGATAATGTTTAAATGGCATCTACGTGCAACCAAAGTTTGTGCGTTTCTTTTTTTGATGCTTGATTAATGATGATACCGTTCTTCTTTGCTCTTGTGTTGTCTTTGACAAGTACTCAAAGTAATTGCACAACAAATAAACGGCAAGGGTATGACAATTATTGACAAGGTTTTTCGTATACGTCGCAAAACAGAAAAATGTTGAAAACAGCATCAAAATAAATAAAACAAGACAGTAAGAGAATTGCACAGGAAACAGATTTCGAAAACGAATAATTTTTCTTTTGTTTGGTCTTTGTATGCAATAATAAACGTTATATCATGCTTCGTAGATCGATATTGTAATAAATGCTTCATCGTCATCAAGAGTCGTAAGAATGACACCTTTGAAGGATTGAGAGATATTCTAAGTTTCAGAAACTTTTCATTATACTAACTTTAGGCATGTTGTAATATTTAAAGGCAGCATAACTTATTTTTGAGATACTATATATCGACGCACTTTTAAAAAAGGTTAACTATTTTTAACGATCACCATTTCACTGCTCATTGTTTCTAGCACGCATAAGATATAACGTCACTGCTTTTTTTATATCTTTTTTACAAATCACGTATCATGAGAAACTATATACAGTAACCGCGTAAATATTCGAGAAAAGTGTCCCTTTACGCTAACGGGTACTGTCACAAGGACGTCGTACCCGAAGAACCATGGTACAGAGAGGGACTATTGTAATAATCATTCCCTAAGGTCGTGTGTGAATGTATAGAGTTCTGTAAGGGACTTAAAGTGTTGTAACCGTACTGCATGTCCGCGTACATTTTGATATCAGACTTACTTTCGTTAGGTAACAACCTGGTGATGGAGAACGGATGATTCGATGGGGTGTATCCAGCCGTGGGTTCCTGTTTGAGATGATGGTTCACGGACCCATGGTGCAACATCGCTTGGTGTTCACTTGATAACGCCAGGTGGTTGTTGCGGGTGATCATCGCTGATAACTCTTCGTGCGTCATATTTTGAGACTGGTGATGCTGCATATGGAGATCATTCGCGTTCAACAGATTCATCTGATCCACATCCAGTTTGGTCGGATGGATCAGCATCGAGCCAATGTTGTTATCGTTAGTTTTGTCCAGATGGTGCGGAGCCTTTTCCTCGTTGTGTTGCAGAGGAGTTTTCTTTCCAGAGCTGTTACTGTTGTCCACGCTATTCGAGGGACTTTTATGCGCAGCTCTCATCAACTCCTTCTTCTCGTCCTTGAACCGTTTTTGCCGCCGGAGATAGCAACCGTTCTCGAACATGTTTCCAGAGTCCGGGTGTAAACTCCAAAAGGAGCCTTTGCCCGGTTTATCCGGTGTGCGAGGTACCTTTATGAAGCAGTCGTTGAATGAAAGAGAATGCCTGATGGAATTTTGCCAACGCTGCTGGTTTTGGCGGTAGAACGGGAAGAGATCCATAATGAACTGGTAGATCTCTGAAAGCGTTAGCATTTTCTGCGGGCTGTTCTGGATTGCCATGGTTATCAACGAGATGTAGGAATACGGTGGTTTGGCATGCGTGTAAGATCTTCTGTACGTTTTGTCCGCTCTGGCGCGCTGCAGGGCAGAATTCGGCGACGTATCACCTCCACTCAAATCACCACGACCGATCGTAGCCGTGTAATTGTTTATCCCGGTCATGGTGGCACCCATACATGCAGCATTCATGTTGGATATTGGCGATCCGATGGTGGTGTACCCCAATTGGGAGGGCTCGTTCATCTGCTGACCGTCCATCCTGGCGCTGAGTCGGTTCATGGGCATGCTGGAAGACATCCCGGAGTTGAGCATGCTGGTGCCGAACATGGGGGTCTGCGGAGAGCAGTTCATCTGGTGCATGGCGGCCATGGAGTTCATGGAGTAAGTCGGCGTCATCGGGGCCATGGCGTTCGTAGACGTCGGCATCGAGTTCACCTCCGGATAGAGCTTTTGCGTTAACATTGCACCGTCGTGAATGTATTCTTCACTATTCCGCACAACCGCAAACAAACTGATCAATCGTCGATCCTTCCGGGTTTGTGTTTTATTGTTTACATCACGATCCGCGCTTCACAAACAAGTTAACACTTTGAGTATGCCAAACCTAACACTGATTGGAAAAACAAATACTCCTCGCTACGGTGTTTACACAGACACTAGACGGCCGATGTGAAGTACCAAGAGCTTTGGGTAGTCAAATACGGGAGGGAGATGGGTGGGCTGTTACCCTGACAACGCGCAGGCCAATGCGCGACGCCGAAAGGTCGTTTCCATGGCGACGATAAGGCCAAGCGCGCAGCGGATTGGCTGTGAAGGCCGATAAGATATGGAAATCCGGTTTGCGTCTGGTGGGATAGGAGGGGGGACACTCCCACGACGTCCCGAGATACGCCACTGGTGATGGAAATTGGAACTACACGGGACGCGCTAACGTCGGAAAGCTGCGATTGCAGTTTTGCGTCGGATGATTTCTTAAAATATTGTTTTTTTATTATACATCTGTGGAGATTAAATATGCAAAGTCAGGATAGGTAGTCAGATTGAGTGGTTATTCATATTTATCTGTCTATAAATTGTATGTGGATAACAATATGGGTGGAGCTAAGTGAATATCTAGTGATTTTTTTGTCTTGACTTCTAAGGTAATGAACTTATTTAAATTAGTGTCTGTTTTCTTTTTGAAATGGGTCTACCATCTATTGCGCTATTGCACCTTGCCTTTTACTCAATCACAACCACATTGCACTTTAGACTAGATAAGCTATCTTTGATCTTCACTCCGTTTTGTTTTCCGTCGCATAAAACACCTTTGTGTCTTCTTCTTCAAGTACCATAGGTATTTTCAATTTGACTTGCCACTTGTTTAGAACTCTCAAAATTTTTATTTTACATCTTCAGGTTTCCTTCAACATTATATTCATATAAGTAAAAGTTTTATAGGTAAAAATGGTCTTATTGCTTGTGCTGATGATTACAATGTAGCTCCTGAAACTTATGCTGTGGAGTCCTATGGAGAATAACAGTTAAAACGAAAAGGTCCCTGTAGGTCTCACATATCATCATTCAAATCAAAAAACGCGACCAAAAGTCCGTTATAAGAAAAAAATAAGTAGGTACTCAAGTACTTTGATATTATGTTAATATTTATAGATTTGCAGCTTTAACAATAATGCTTCTTATTTTTACGACGGAAATTTGCTCAGAAGGGAATGAGTTTGTCAAAAAAGCAATAATTAAGTTAAAACTATTTTTTTTGAAAAACAGATATATTACATGAAAAAAAAATTATAACATCTCCACACATTCAAATCCTCTAAACAGTGAGTCAAACACTGGCACCGAGAATACTAAATACAGGAAACATCCCAATTGCGCTAAAAAAAGAACATCACTGGATGTGAATAAGTACACGCTGATCAAAACTAAAACTGCTATAAGCTGTAAGGCAATTCCCAATCAATAGTATTAACAACAATAACAACAATAAAGTATCAAAAGGTACTAACAAACATTTAGCTACAATTAGAATAACGTCAGTCTCTTAAAGTTTAAGCCGTTTTGGAAATTCATTGGAAATAATTCTCCGCTCTATTACTTATATAGAGTGTTGCTAAAACTTCTGGTTAAACTCCAGAGGGCCATTTTTTTGGGTGATTCTAAGAAGAAACGTTCATATGACCACTAGTCAGGTAATGATTTGTTGACAAACTAAAATTCGTTTTGTCATGAAAATCGCAATAAGATATTATATAAGAACAGCAGGTACAGGTGTATCTCAAAAAATCAGTGGCGTATATAGGGCGGTGGGTCTGCCGCCCTCTCAACGATACAAAATGCTGATCACCTTCGAGAGGAATTTTCAAATTTTTAGGTAAACTATTTATTTATTCATTCTAAAATTTGCAAAGCAGTAGGTAATTCGCATGTTTCGAGTTTGGGAATTTGAATTATTAGGAAATGAAGGGTACTGACCTTTGGTTTTAATATTTTAACGGTGATAAACTGTTTATTAAGGCTCTGAATGCAGTGTTCTAGGTTCAAATGATTCCAGCACAGACCCAGAAGCACTATGACATCCTTTCTGTGCATGATTCTTCAAATTTGTAAATGTAAGTAAAAGCTTAAAAGCTGTATTTCGTACGGCATGGAAAGATAAACATAAACATTTAATTTGTCGTGGGTCACAAAATATACAGGGTGTTGATTTGTAAACCTCCCACTACAGATTTATCAAAAACCACGAATTAAAAGAAAACACGCCGAGACACATCAAAATATTTGTCCAAAAACTACTTCACCCCCTTCCACCCTCTGCCCCCCGGGTCATCCCCTTAGAATTTCAAATGACAAGGGGTATCGAGTAGGTAATACCTTTCAAAGTTCTTTATTTCGTTTTCAAGAAAATTAGAAAAATCTCTATTTATCTTAATTTGTTCAGATAGAAAACAACAACAAAATATCACTTTTTATTTCAATAAGTGTTCAAAATGTAGTCCCTCATTAGCCAAAAAATAATATAGGCGATGTTCAAATTCCTGCCGGGAATTTTCATAAACATGTGGGATATCATGGCAGCTTCCGATGTTGCATTGACGAAGTTCATCCAAATTTTAATAGATTTTAAATGACCGCACAGACAAAAGTCTAATAGCGTCAAATCATGAGATCTAGCAGGCCCTCTTCGCCTTATCCATTTATCTGGAAACTCGTCGTCTAGCCATTTTGCGCCGTTTTGCTGGAAATATATTTCAGCCTCATCAAGTATAGGGCCTTTTCGATTTGGTTTTAAATGGTTTCAGTAACAAGCGGATTGATGGTATTTTCCAACATATACAAATAAATGTCTCCATTCAAATTTCCATTAATAAACAATGCCCAATCACCTTATTTCCTAAAATGCCTGCCCATACAATTATGTTTTGGGGGACTGGGTAAGCCCTTCTACAAAAGCATGAGGATTTTCATTTCTCCAATACCTGCAGTTATGCTTATTAACAAATCCACTTAGATAAAGTGTATCGCTGCAGTCATTTGCTCGCAAAACTCAACTCGCATAACGAAATCATATTCGGCTAACTCTTGCAATATATTAATTTTGAATGGATGAAATTTTTGGAGCTTAGTAACTGTGTGTACAGAACGAAATGAAATACCAGTTGCAGCAACAATTTTGCGTAATGACCCAAAACATCAACTTAAGGGGCTTCATCCAAAACTCTCCGATGATCACGTTTTTTATTTGCAACAGATCCAGTTTGAGTAAATTTAGTAACAAGAGCCAAAACATATCTATGCGAAGTTATCTTCCCCGGATGTTTGGCGTCTCCAAACAGGAAAAAATAAATTGGTCAAAATTCTAAATCCAGCGATCTACATGGCAATAACGTGTGGTTTCAATAAAGAGAATTTTTGGCGATACGTCTGTACCTGATGAATTTCAACAAATTTTAATAAAACCGGCTAAGCCATTTCTTACAATTTTTTCGATAGAACGAATCCTCAAAGTAAGTTTGATGCCACAAATAACTGCATGTATGTTTTTATGAACTTGTTCTGATAGGTAGTTTGACACCAAAACGGAATAGCATAGCAGCACCACTGCTGATGCGTCGTGTCATTGAATACGGCGGAATTAGCTCGCAACCGGTATAAAGGCCTTAGCCTTAGAGTGGTTTATGATGTGTTATGTTACTATCTTCCATTGTGGTATCCGAGTATAGAGCTATTAAAGGAATCGCTTGAAGTTTGTGGGCTCAAGTCCAAACAGAAGCTACGCGAATACTTGAAAAACATTTTTTCTGATGTAAAAATGAAGGTACCCTTTAATGCGCCTTGACTAGTTCAGTAGTTTTTTCATAGATAAATTTTTTCCTAGATAATGTAAAATCTGGATGCTCTAATTAATGTTAATATCAAGGTATTATAACGTACAATAAGATAATAAAATAATGAGTACCATGTAAACACATTAAGCAGAAATTTAAATTCTTTGATTATTCAAAAGAATAATTTTTGGGATTGTCGTATTAAGACTTTAATATGAACCTTCATCGTGAATACAAATACAAATCCACTGTCACTAATGATAAGGCATTTGTTATCTACTCAGATATGTTTTGTTCCGAAGTCCGAAGACTTTGAACTGAATCATGGAATTAAGAACAATAAAAATATTATTTTGATGGCCAAAAATAGGATACACAAAAAATATTACCACAAAAAACTAATTTCACAATAGGTGAACTCAGGACAGGTTTTCAATTCTCTTGTCCCGCTGAGTGATGTTCTCAAGTTACCTACTGTTATATCCACTAGCTCATCTGAATATCAAAAATTTTACTTGGAAATCCAACTGAATGCTACTAAAGGGATGATTTTAATATTTATGATGTATTCGGAATGGAATCCACAAGTCGTGTATTTTGAAACATACATAATATGTTCATACTGGCTCACCTTGTTATTTACTCTTAAACCATACTACCTGCACTTGCAGACATTAATCAGAAAATTTCTGATAAAAGGGCTGCAATTAAGCAAGCGGAAAGGTCTTATCATCTTGATGACAATCACAGAGTGACGAATCTTGTTCATGAAATGCTCTTCATGAATTTCGCAATGAGCAATGGAACGACTTTCTGGCGGAGATGCTTGACTCAATCATTCCTGCCCCGAACGTGGCGAAGTCGCTCAGAAAGGGAAAGCGAGAACAATCATCCACGGTGCTGGGGGCATTATCTTCAAGGCAGACGAAAATGTTGAGGTTTTCTCTGATACCATGGAGATACAGGAGCAAATCACTAATAAGGCGATGCTTTCGCGGAAGTCTTTCACTTATCATCAAGTGGTAATGATCAATGCCATGCGAAAGACTTCCCATCTGCATGGAAAACCGCTGAATTTATAATGATTCAAAAGATATTTCCCCAGGATTATCGACCCACGTAGTTCGTCAAACGTGTTCACCTTAGTTTTATACAGCAAACATTTCATTTTGCTCCAAACAAAAAAAAAACACGTAGTATCTTGAAAAACGATCTGCATGCACTCGCAAAGCCTCGGTAGAATTTCGAAGACGTTCACCGTGAGCTTAAATAATATGGATAACTCCGAAATTGCTGTGTGAGTGTAGC